AACAACAACAACAACAACAACAACATTAGGGAAGTAGGTTAATTACCATTCCAACAGGCAGCTTGTGGAATAAGATGTGGTTGTCTATCGTTTTGGTTTAAACTTCTAATCTTAGGAAATAATGCAGATTTCTTCTGAAACTGAGGTTGATTTGCGGCCAACCCTGCATGTTGATATCTTACACTCTGCATGGTTACTGTGTAGGAATGTTGATTATCATCACCTGGGGAGGGAGAGTGAGGGAGGAAAGTAAGGAAGTAAAAGCTTGTGTAGATTTTGCCTCAGAAGGTACTAGAGATTCACATCTTGGGGTGCTTTATTTAGACTGACAAGGATAGCCAAGGGTTTCAGAGATGAAGGCATCTCTAAAGGGATTGGCAACACTATGGAGTCAATGCGTGAGAATAGCTTAGTAGGATCAGGGAGAAGCTAGTAGTTTAAGTGAGAGGCTGATTTTTCCCAAGTTGTTCATAGTACAAGCCTGGGTGTCAGGCCAAGGTTCACTTTCTCATTCTATCACTTAACAGCAGTGTGGTCTTGGTGGCAATTTCATTAAAGACATTTGAGGTTGAGGCAAGGTAGACTAAGGCATGCCAGTTAGCCTTCGCAGAGCCACCAAACTGAAAACCAAACCCACTGCCATAGAGTTGATTCTGACTCATAGTGACCCTCACTGGGTTTCCAACGTGGTAAATCTTTATGGAAGTAGATTGCCCCATCTTCCTTCTGCAGAGTGGCAGGTGGGTTTGAACCACCAACTTCTAGCTAGCAAGCAAATGCCTTAGGCACTGCACCACCAGAGCTCTTTCACAGAGTCACAGTAACCACATTATTGATAACATAGGTCTTCTGAGATTAGGGTCACTGGGCCTTACCTCCTGGGGTAGACTCTCTTAAAGGGAGACAGCTGTCCTGCCCACAGTGCTTTCAAATGGCTTCACAGACTGAAAGACTTTCCTGAGTCCTTAGTGCTCAGTCTCCATGTCCAGGTGGTGTGGCGTCTTTGGGCAGTGTGACCCCCGGGGAAGGGAACCATCCATCTGTCCTCTGGGAATCTTGAAGGGTCAGATGCTAAGGTATGAAGGGCTGGAAAGTCCACACCCAGTGGCTCAAGTTGGCTCTTTGCATCTCAAGACACATTTTCTTGTGTGGAGGTTAGGACAACCCAACACAAAAGGGAAGCCTTGCTGCTCCAAAGTGGGACAGAAAATGAACCAGATAGAGTGAAACCTGTGAGTGGAACCTGATGGGACTGCCTTGTTTTTTCAGGTCTCACAGTTTTCTGCATTTGACAGGGTACAGACTTACCACTTTTCTATCTTTCATTTTAATGGGAAATATTTGCATTTTCCTCCGTTATAGATTGAATTTTGTCCTCCCAAAATACATGTTGTAAATCCTAACCTATATGCGTGTGGTTATAATCCCATTTGGGAATGCTGTCGTTAGGTACCTTTGAGTTAAATCCAAATCATAGCAACTGACCCTGTGTATGATAGAATGAAATACTAAAATGGGTTATCTTTATTATGTTAGTGATGTGTAGGATTAGTGGAGGGTATATCTTGAGTCAGTCTGTTTTTGAGATATGAAAGAGATTAAATGCAAGCTAGAAACAGATAGAGGAGGAGTGATGCCGAGCTACATGAAGATCACCAAGGGGCCAAGAAATAAGGATTTCCCTCTAGAGTTGACATAAAGAGAGAGCCTTCTCCTATAGCCAGCACCTTGAATTCAGACTTCCAGCTTCCTGAACTGTGAGAAAATAAATTTCTGTTTGTTAAAGCCACCCACTTGTGGTATTTCTGTTACAGCAGCAATAAGAAACTTTCCTCTGACAGATTTCTGTCTTACACATGTTCCAGCTTTTGCAGGTTTTGCTGTACTTTGGGTTGGTTTCCAGAGGGCCCTGGCATCTGTACAGCCCTACTGCTACCACTACTCACCGTCTTTGAGTTGATTCCGACTCATAGCAACCCCTCCTTGGATTTCCGAGGTGGTACCTGTACAGAAGTAGATTGCCCAGTCTTCCTTCCGAGGAGTGGCTGGTGGGTTTGAACCTCCAGCCTTCTGGTTAGCAGTCAAATGCCTTAGGCACTATGCCACCAGAGCTTTGCTATACTTTGGGTTGGTTTCCAGAGGGCCCTGGCATTTGGGCAGCCCATGCCTGAGAATTCTCTGAATGTTCTTTTCTTCTATGGCTCTGTGTCTGGTACACTCAGGCTGTGTCTCCACCCCCTTCCACATGACTAGGCCCTAGCTATTCCTGTGTGTCAGAGTATGAAAGTTAACAGAGACCCTGCCCCACATAATTGAGATGAGCCAGGGTCAACACCCACCCCTTCATTTCTTCTGGTGCCTGGTTTTCTTTCCCCACCAGAAGAGCCAGAGTATTAAATGTTTGGCCTTATTTAAGGAATTCTCTGGAAGATTGTGCCCAGTTCCATTGTATCTCCCCAAAATAAAGTTACATATTCCCTGCCCTTAAAGAGCTTAACAGATAACCAAGCCCACTGCCATCAGATCAATTCTGATTCATAGCAACCCCATTGCATTTCTAAGATGGTAAATCTTTAGGGAAGTAGATTGTCCCATCTTCTGCAGAACAACTGGTGGGTTTGAACAGCCAGCCTTCTGGTTAGCAGTCAAATGACTTAGGAACTGCACCACGAGAGCTCCTTGATTCAATCTGTTTGGAGACAATGGTATTGCATTTTATGTCAAAACTGATTTTTGTTTCTTTAGGTAGAAAATATGATTTTTTCCTAAATTATGAATAAGTTTGTGTGTGTTTGTGTGTGTGTAAGCTGTTAGCTTAATTTGTATTAATGCAAATCATCTTTAAGCAATTTTACTGTTTCTTTACTTGCTGAGCTTGTGTGTATGTGTGTGTGTGTGTGTGTGTGTTTTGCTGGATTTGTATCAGCTGAAGTTTTAGGCTTGAAATGGTATTGCCTTAGTTATCTAGTGCTGTTGTAACATACATACCATAATGAGTGGTTTTAAAGAACAGAAACTTATTCGCTCCCAGTTCAGGAGGCTGAACGTCCAAATCAGGGTCTTGGCTATGTAGGTTCCTCTCTTGTCGGTAGCCTGGGCATTCCTTGTCTCTTTGGCTTATTATAGAGGATTCTTACGTGGTATATCTTTACCACAGTATGTGAATGTGTGTGTGTCTCTCTTTATCACTAGGGAGTGATTGGGTTTAAGACAGACCCAGCACTAGTCCAGCCTCATTAAAATAACAAAGAAAATTCTGTTTCCAAACAGGAGCACATCCACAGACACAGGGCTTAGAACTAATTACAACATATATTTTCTGGGGCCACAATTCAATCCTTAACGAACACCATAGTTAAAATTTTATATTTCTACCAGAAGTTTCGGGGCAGGTGATACTTCCATTTGATGTAGAGTGTCCTTTGTTTATTTTGAACTTGGAATATGACGAACCCTCCTTGGGTTTCCGAGGTGATATCACTACAGAAGTAGATTGCCCAGCCTTCCTTCCGAGGAGTGGCTGGTGGGATTGAACTGCCAGCCTTCTGGTTAGCAGTCAAATGTTTTAGGCACTATGCCACCAGAGCTCCTTTTTGTCCTTTGTTTATTTTAAACTTGGAAAATGTTGCCTGCCACAAGAGACTTTTGCTTTTCTCAGGTGTGATGATGAGTGGATGGAAGGTCAGGTGGGAGACAATTGACTGGAATCTCGCTGCCGTCTTCGTGACTGTTGTATGTATGACTGCAAGATATTGAAATAAAGGGGGAAACCCAAGCATAACTGCCTTTATTTATTTATTTTTTGCAGTCTTTAAAACAGCTGTGGTCCTTGTGTATAAAGATGGCTCCAAGCAGAAGAAGAAACTCGTAAGACTCCTAATTTCACCCCATATTTTGAAAATATTTCTTGCTCTATTTTCTTCTCAGTTATATATGCATAAGATTCTAACTCTTACTCAGGCACACTTCCTTTTTTGATTTCTTTTCTGTTTTGTATGTGTTGCTCATAACTTCCATCCTGCTTTCTTTCAGGTAGGTTCATGTTTGTAGCCTGAAAGAGAATAGCTATGGAGCTTACCAAAGCTCAGAACCTTCCTAATATTACCCCGACCCCCACCCCCCAATTCTGTGTTGGGATCTGTTTTCTCCTCTGTCTTGTGTCTCTCTCTTACCTGCATTTGGTTAGCACACTTACTTGCACACCCTCAGCATATTAATCACCGGACCTCCCCCTTTCTCACTGCTAGATAAAGGAGCACATGGTGGTGGAGTTCCTTCCAGCAAGCACTGGGGTTCTGGGGTGAGAATCAGTCACTGCTTTAGGAAATCTAGAGGCTGGTTGGCCCAGGAACAGAACAGGTTGTTCTTACGCAGCTTATTCCTGCTCTCCTGCAGGTAGGATCTCACCGGCTTTCAATTTACGAGGACTGGGACCCCTTCCGATTTCGGCACATGATCCCTACTGAGGCGCTTCAGGTTCGAGCTCTGGCAAGTGCAGGTAAATTCTGACCTGTGCTGGGTGCATAATTCTGGTGTGCGGATGAATTGTGTTTCCGAACACCCCCTTCCCATCCTTTGTTATCTAAGTCTAAACTTTGTTTCCTTTGATCTTCCCATTTCCTTTTATTTACCCAGCCATTTATTAAACATTTGAACGAGCAAATGAATGAACCCAAGGATTAGTTATAATGTCGTAGATTTTTCTTGAGGATTCTAGTGGTTCTGATACATATATTAATAATGTTTCAGTGACTAATATTTGAGTAACAACATGTCTTCTAATTTCTGGGAAGAATCCTTGCTGCCATGAGGAGGCAAAACCTGTGGAACTTGCTCACTTCTCTTTTAACTGGAATACCAAAAAGACCACCAAGTTCACAAAAAAGCAATTGGTTAAACGTTTTGTCTTTTCGTTCTGAAGTATTGTAAATACTTACCGCTAGTATGAGTGTGAAGGCTCTTGACATGCCAGTTCTTTTTCTGTGATCAGATAGTAGTGAAGTGAGCTGTTGGATAGTGACAGATAATGCTTGACAATATATTAGATGATACTTTAAGCACGTGAGAAGAGAAGTAAACTTCAGCAGGATATTGACCAAGAAAGCGATACATGGACACCTATAAGCTCATGGGACAGCTTTGTTTTTCCACTTTTGACAGGGTGCAGAGTTGCCACTTTTCTGTCACTTGTCGTCTTGTTGTTGTTGTTGTTAAGTGCCGTCGAGTCGTTTCCGACTCATAGCAACCCCATGCACAGCAGAACGAAACACTGCCCGATCCCGCGCCAGCCCCACA